GGACAGGGCAGGACAGGGGCAGGACAGGGGCAGGACAGGGGCAGATGGCGTGGGCTTTGTGTGGCAGTGGGAGTGGGCACTGTGCCACAGGGCACGATGTGTCGCTGCAGTCGCCCTGGAGACGCTCATGAAAAGAGCTCCAAACAGACAGAGACCTTAGTCCTGGTTTAGTCCTGGTTTAGACCTGGTTTAGTTCTGGTTTAGTCCTGGTTTAGACCTGGTGGTTAGTCTGGTTTAGTCTGGTTTAGCTGGTTTAGTCCTGGTTTAGTCCTGGTTTAGTCCTGGTTTAGTTCTGGTTTAGTCCTGGTTTAGTCTTGTTTTAGTCCTGGTTTAGTCCTGGTTTAGACCTGGTTTTAGTCCTGGTTTAGCTGGTTTAGTCCTGGTTTAGTCTTGTTTTAGTCCTGGTTTAGTCCTGGTTTAGTCTTGTTTTAGTCCTGGTTTAGGTCCTGAGTTTCAGTCCTGGTTTAGTCCTGGTTTAGTCCTGGTTTAGTCCTGGTTTAGTTAGACCTGGTTTTAGTCCTGTTTAGTCCTGGTTTAGTCCTGGTTTAGACCTGGTTTAGTCCTGTTTAGTCCTGGTTTAGTCCTGTTTTTAGTCCTGGTTTAGTCCTGGTTTAGTCCTGGTTTAGTCCTTTAGTCCTGGTTTAGTCCTGTTTAGTCCTGTTTAGTCCTGGTTTAGTCCTGGTTTAGTCCTGGTTTAGTCCTGGTTTAGTCCTGGTTTAGTCCTGGTTTAGTCCTGGTTTAGTCCTGGTTTAGTCCTGGTTTTAGTCCTGGTTTAGTCCTGGTTTAGTCCTGTTTTTAGTCCTGGTTTAGTCCTGGTTTAGTCCTGGTTTTAGTCCTGGTTTAGTCCTGGTTTAGTCCTGGTTTAGTCCTGTCCTGTTTTAGTCCTGGTTTAGTCCTGGTTTAGTCCTGTTTAGTCCTAGTCCTGGTTAGTCCTGGTTTAGTCCTGGTTTAGTCCTGGTTTAGTCCTGGTTTAGTCCTAGGTTTAGTCCTGGTTTAGTCCTGGTTTAGTCCTGGTTTAGTCCTGGTTTTAGTCCTGGTTTAGTCCTGGTTTAGTCCTGGTTTAGTCCTGTTTAGTCCTGGTTTAGTTTTAGTCCTGGTTTAGTCCTGGTTTAGTCCTGGTTTAGTCCTGGTTTTAGTCCTGTTTTAGTCCTGTTTTAGTCCTGGTTTAGTCCTGGTTTAGTCCTGGTTTAGTCCTGGTTTAGTCCTGGTTTAGTCCTGGTTTAGTCCTGGTTCTCACAGGTGTATTAGTTCTTCTGTGTCTTAGATCAGGTGTGGTTCTTTCGGTCCGAGTATCTGAGCTTTAGTTTCGTTCTTGTAGCTGCTTCTTCGTCGACGCACGAGTCGAGTCGAGTCGAGTCACTGACAGCTGCTGTTCGTTCGTCTCAGTTTGGGTCGGGACCAAACTCTCCGACAGAGTTGGTGTGAGGCGCCCAGAGACGACGGAGGCCAAACACGAGAGACATGAACCCCCTGCCAACGTCGGAGGGGAGCTGGGCACCCGTGGGTGTCAGGAGGGAGCTCGGGTCAGGGAGGACGGACACACAGCTCCACGTCACACAGACCAGTCACACTTTGACCTGATCAAACTCTCCTCCCATGATGCATCTGGAATAATCTGTCTGGACCGACTGTCTCTGGTCTGGACCTGAGTTGGCGTCTGACCAGAGCCACCGACCGGAGTTGGACGTTTGGTGCAGAGTAAATCAAACGATTTGAGACCTCAAAAAAAAAGAGACGCTCCCGGGTCCGTTTGATTTAGAGCAAAACCGAGCGAGACTGAAACTTTTACACCAACGAAACCAAAACCAGCAAAACAAAACAACTAAGAACATCTGGGTCCAACAGAACGATTAAAGCAACAACTGCAGGCGACGTGTTTGTCCTGTTTTAGTCCTGGTCCAGTCTTGTTTTAGTCCTGGTCCGGTCCTGGTCCGGTCCTGGTCCGGTCCTGGTCCGGTCCTGGTCCGGTCCTGGTCCAGTCCTGGTCCGGTCTGTTCTGTCTCTGGGCTCTGATGCATCGACCTGTGGTTCACTGCACACACACTTCACTGTCTCTGCAGGGACACAGTACACACACTCTTTAATACACACACACACAGACACACACACACACACACACACTCACACACACACACACACTCACACACACACAGTCACAGTGTTGGTTGATATTCTCCGTCCACACAAACACCGATCGCTCTGTTACGTTTAGTTTCACATTTTAAGCTGAAACGTCCAGTGTTCAAAAATCTTTACAAAGTCAAATAATCCTCTGAATCTTTCCCACAGTTTTCAGATGAATAAATTTAAAATAAATCAGACAAATCACTTTAAGGTCTGAGACTAAAGATGAAAGACAAACACGACCAAAGACCAACTCAGACCAAAACTCCATCTGTGGAAGAACAACAGACCTCTGCACCTCTGCATCCTCACAAGGACGCTTCCTCACAAGGATGCTTCCTCACAAGGACGCTTCCTCACAAGGACGCTTCCTCACAAGGACGCTTCCTCACAAGGACGCTTCCTCACAAGGACGCTTCCTCACTAGGACGCTTCCTCACTAGGACACTTCCTCACTCAGATACTTCCTCACTAGGACGCTTCCTCACTAGGACGCTTCCTCACAAGGACGCTTCCTCACAAGGACGCTTCCTCATGAGGAGGCTTCCTCACCAGGACGCTTCCTTACAAGGACACTTCCTCATGAGGACGCTTCCTCATAAGGACGCTTCCTCACTAGGATGCTTCCTCACTAGGATGCTTCCTCACAAGGACGCTTCCTCACTAGGATGCTTCCTCACTAGGATGCTCTCTCACTAGGATGCTTCCTCACTAGGATGCTTCCTCACTAGGATGCTTTCTCACTAGGATACTTCCTCACTAGGACGCTTCCTCATGAGGACTCTTCCTTATTAGGATGCCTCCTCACTCAGATACTTCCTCACTAGGACGCTTTCTCACTATAATGCCTCCTCACTGGGATGCTTTCTCACTAGGATACTTCCTCACTAGGACGCTTCCTCACTAGGATTCTTCCTCACTAGGATTCTTCCTCACTAGAATGCTTCCTCACTAGAACACTTTCTCACTAGGATGCCTTCTCAGTTCGATATCTCCTCATTAGGATGTCTCCTCACTAGGATGCTTTCTCAGTAGGACACTTCCTCATTAAGATGTTTCCTCATTAGGATGCTTCCTCGGTAGGATTCTTCCGCACTCTGAACTTTAAACTCATTTGTGAATCAGCTCAGGTTGAGCTCAGGTTAGGACGGTAGGGCATCTGACTCTCTCTGACTCTGTGCTGTTTTTCCACATCAGTCCACAGATGTTTTGTGGTTTTTATAATGAAAGTTTGTTCAGGTGGTTGCAGCAGAGTAAATCCAGTCTCTGCCGTCAGCCCCGGGGCAGCTGCGGCTACAGGAAGTGTGTGACAGAGCACAGAGTGAACACATGTATCTCACTGATCAGAGTCTGAATCCCTCGTCGTTCGTGTGGCGTTGGTGAAGTTTGATCAGAGCTCCATAAATCCAGCGGCGTTTGTACGAGTCACAACAGAACATTTACTTCAACAATAATGTGATCAAAGTTTATGTGACCCTGAAGCAGCAGAATCCAGTAAAACTCTGCCTCTTTAAACCGCGTTAAAAACATCAACAGACAGAAATAAACAGCAGACAGACAGAACAACAGGAGCGTCACAGGAGACACGAGTTTCACCCCCAACACTTCAAATCTTGACATAAAACACACACAAAAAAACACTCACACACACAAATATTCACACAAGAGAAAAAAAAAAACAAACCTACACACGATAAAAACTGAACCCAAATCACCGACTCATCGTTTATATGAAAACAACAATAATCATGACAAGACGAAAAAACACAAACTGTGAAGTGTTTACTGGAGTAACACAGAGTATTTAATGTTACTGGGACTGTAGTAATACCAGTAGAAGTAGTAGTAGTAGTAGTAGTAGTAGTAGTAGTAGTAGTAGTAGTAGTAGTAGTAGCAGTAGTAATAGTAGTAGTATTAATAGTATTAGTAATAGTATTCGTAGTAGTTAAATACCTGAGGTTGTTGGGACTGTAGTATTAGTAGTATTGTGTAGTATTTGTAGTTAAATACCTGAGGTTGTTGGGACTGTAGTATTAGTAGTATTTGTAGTATTTGTAGTTAAATACCTGAGGTTGTTGGGACTGTAGTATTAGTAGTATTAGTAGTAGTATTTGTAGTAAATACCTGAGGTTGTTGGGACTGTAGTATTAGTAGTATTAGTAGTATTTGTAGTATTTGTAGTAAATACCTGAGGTTGTTGGGACTGCAGTATTAGTAGTATTAGTAGTATTAGTAGTATTTGTAGTAAATACCTGAGGTTGTTGGGACTGTAGTATTAGTAGTATTAGTAGTATTTGTAGTATTTGTAGTAAATACCTGAGGTTGTTGGGACTGTAGTATTAGTAGTATTAGTAGTATTTAGTAGTATTTGTAGTAAATACCTGAGGTTGTTGGGACTGTAGTATTAGTAGTATTTGTAGTATTTGTAGTAAATACCTGAGGTTGTTGGGACTGTAGTAGTAGTAGTATTTGTAGTATTTGTAGTAAATACCTGAGGTTGTTGGGACTGTAGTATTAGTAGTATTAGTAGTATTTGTAGTAAATACCTGAGGTTGTTGGGACTGTAGTATTAGTAGTATTAGTAGTAGTATTTGTAGTAAATACCTGAGGTTGTTGGGACTGTAGTAGTAGTAGTATTAGTAGTAGTATTTGTAGTATTTGTAGTAAATACCTGAGGTTGTTGGGACTGTAGTAGTAGTAGTATTAGTAGTATTTGTAGTATTTGTAGTAAATACCTGAGGTTGTTGGGACTGTAGTAGTAGTAGTAGTATTAGTAGTATTTGTAGTATTTGTAGTATTTGTAGTAAATACCTGAGGTTGTTGGGACTGTAGTATTAGTAGTATTAGTAGTATTTGTAGTATTTGTAGTTAAATACCTGAGGTTGTTGGGGGATGTTGAATCCCGGGTCTCGGGGTCCCACACTCACAAACCTCTGTGCCGGGGAGGTGGACGTGGGGGTCGAATACGCTGAAAAACAAAATCAAACCAAATCAAACCAAATCAAACCAAATCAAACATGAGTCACTTTTGTCCTCAGGTTTGAACCAAAACTCCATCACTTTTATTTTCTCCCGTCCGTTTGTCCACGTGTTCAGGCACATCAGAAGTTCTCGTGGCTTTGAAGTATCAATTTTTTTTTTGCTTTGAGCTTTTAGAGTCATTTGTGCATGTTTGAGTCATCTAGAGATCTCTCCTGGTTTCTATTCAGACCCTCGTTCCATAAAAACACAAAAACATGACACAAAACTGTGTATGTGTCTCTTCAGCTTTTATTATTACTATTACTTTGCTATTAATATTAATCTATTTTATTATTATTATTATTTTTTTATTTTTTTTTATTTAATTACATTTTTTGTTTAGTTTTATTTTTTCTTTGGGTTATTTTTGGAAAAAAATTGCACAAATATGATATCTGGTATATCAGATTTTTTTGCGAAGTCGTTCACATTTCGTGGGGTGAATGTGAAATCTGTTGTGTGTCAATTGTTCATTTGTTTTTCAAAATAAAACCAAAAATAAGAAAACTAAAAACTACTATTTTTTTCATTATTTGTCTCAAAAACCAAAATGAAAAAAACTGAAAATGATTCGTTTTTTCAGTTTTCAATTTTCTGTTTAAATGAAAAATTAAAAAAACAAACAAAACAAAAAAAACAAAAAAACGGATAACGGACTGAACCAGGACTAAACCAGGACTAAACCAGGACTAAACCAGGACTAAACCAGGTCTAAACCAGGACTAAACCAGGACTAAACCAGGACTAAACCAGGACTAAACCAGGTCTAAACCAGGTCTAAACCAGGACTAAAACCAGGACTAAACCAGACTAAACCAGGACTAAACCAGAACTAAACCAGGACTAAACCAGACTAAACCAGGACTAAACCAGGACTAAACCAGAACTAAACCAGGACTAAACCAGACCTAAACCAGGACTAAACTAGGACTAAACCAGGACTAAACCAGAACTAAACCAGGACTAAACCAGGT